GGGTGACTGCTATAGCAGGTTTTCTCCATCGCTGGCCCAGCACAGGGTCAGATGGGTGGCCCAGTGCCCGCACCCCTTGGAGACGGACCAGGCCTTGGCACAACCCATGCCACGTTCGAGAGGGCAAAGCATCTTTAGCAAGAGCCCGGGGCTCCGCGTGAGGCGGYGCTGGGTGCGGGAGGCACCGGCCGCTGCTCCGTGCCTCTGGCGGACGTGTCCGCCTGCCTCAGCAGGCAGGATGAGGCCTGCAGAGGCCCGGGCTGCCATGGCAACGYGGGCGGGAGAAGCAGCGCGCTCTGTTTCCAAGGATTTGGGGCGGATGAGCCCCRTCCCGGGACGCGGCTGCGGGGGGCCCTCAAGGGGAGCCCTTCGAGGGCACAGGAGGATTCCCTGCTTCCCACTGCTCCTTATTTTTGTTCAGCAGCGGTGAAGCAAGGCTGGCTCCTCCTCGGTGTCTGTGAAGATGCAGGCAGGTACAGCACAAAATAAGTGCAGTGGTCAAATACAATTATTTTACCAACAAATAGCTGACTCTATGAGCTGATGCCTGATTTGAAATAGCCTACATACGCAATTTTACTTAAATTGACAMAGTGCAGTAAGGGAAAACAGAAAAGGCTTTATCATTTACTTTTATTTATTTTCTTTCCTCTTCCCAACACCTCAGAATAAATCTGCTTAGTGCCAGAAGCCAAGTTTATGAGGAAGCAAACATGCTTTTCTCTAAAAATCACCTCAAAATGGCAGGTGGACTCTCACATTGTGCTGCTGTGACAGGACTGTTGGTGCTTTGCCCTGTAACTCATTGATTTGATCTCAAATTACATTAATTTTGTAGCTGTCACCAGAGCTTTCTAATGGCGCCTTCATAGGAGGTGGCTGGTGCCCCTGAGCTTGACATGGGCCTTGACGGCCACATGGACATGTCACTGGGGTGGCACTGGGATGGACATGGTGGGACCTGGCAGGTGCCAAGGCTGCTCCACACCATCCAGTAACAGAGCTGGAAAAAACTTCTCAGATCTTCTGTGATGGAAACAGCTCTTGTAAAGCTTGGAGTGATTTAAAAATGACTAAAAAATATTTATCTTAGACCACCATCTTTTGAAGGATCCCCTTGTCACACACCCCAGTCTCATTCAGGCCAGCATACATTTCAATGTTGTGGTCCCTTGGTCCTGCTAGGAGTTACTCAGACACAAACATATCCATTAGGAGAACGTTATTTATTGTCCTTGAAGGGCCTTCTAGTGATAGGAAGTGAACTTACTATTTTAATGAATAATTAGGTCCCTGCAGTACCTGTAGAAAAATGTTACCATATTCCTCTTGAAAATGATATCAAATGATATCCTCCCCAAAAAGAGAGGAACAAGCAACTGCCCCTCCGTGTCCCCCAGGAGTAAGCAGTGATTTGCAGTGGGAGTCCAGCATTTCATTTCTCAACACGTTTCATGCCAGCAGTAGGAAGTGGGAAGTTGCTCTTGAACWGAGCAGTGGCTAGTTACCAGAGAACACTTATGCCTCTCTTTCTTCATGGCTATTTAGTGRTTAAAATGTAATATAATGAGCTGCAAACCAACCTTTGGATGGCTTGAATACGGTATCATTTATTTACAGCATTAAAACATAGCAGTAAACCTGTAACAGGATTCTGAGTACATCTGCTTATTCTCACCTTCTCTTTATAAATTTTAAAGCAGTTGTTTTTAGTAATGCTAACGAGTATGCTTATCTTTGTAGTGGAAAAATCTTTGTAACTAAAAGTAAACAGGACACTTAGATTGAGTTTCAATTTTAATTAAATTTTGGCTTTTTATCCTAATTGGGAATCACCTTCAGTGACAGCTTGAAGACTTACAAGGGAACCTTTCATAATGTTCTCGTTATCTATTCCTGTCTCAAATACAGGGGTTTTGCCATCTTGTTATCTGGGATTTATGTGAACCACAGTACCAGTTCAGTCTTTTACTGCACTTCTGATGTTTTAATTCAGATGCCTCTGGTGAATTAAATCCTTTTAAGATTCACTTTGAGCCCATTAGAAATAGAAAAATATGTTGCCCCCGTAATAGGTTAGAATATGTTAAGACGTAAAGGAAACCTATCCATTGGGCATACTTCAGCACTAACAAACACTTTATTTTCCTAGGGTTCAGGAAATATGGATTGAATGATTTACAAGACGAGGAACAGTAGCATAGGCTAGGTGTGTATAAATAATTTTATGACCACTTGTGGCTTAGGAATTTATTGCAACTTTTCAGCAGTGCAATTCAAACAGCATGTAAAGAGTGAAACATTAACTAATGGTTAAACAGAGCAGAGCTGCATCTTCTTATAGAAGTGACCTTTAATAAAAAGATGATAAACATTTATACAGTGTTTGTCCTGGAGCATTAAAGCAGTAAAGATAATGACAAATCTCTACAGTGAATAAGACTCTTAACAGAGCCTACTTAAAAAAAAAGTCATTGCATATGCTTTTGATTTTTTTATTACAATAAGCAGAATGTAATTTTACTTGGATGTTAAAATCCACCTCTGATGGACTTTGACTATGCCCTAGCAACCTTAAAAAGAACAAGGGAGATCCATTCATAGTTCTTGGAGGGCAGTTTCTTCCAGGTCTGGCCATGCCAATTCCACAGTCTAGAGATCTGTTTTAGGAAATGCTTTAGGAAAAGTAATTTCTCATATAGATCCAAGCCTTTTGGACAGAACTCCCTAGAGTGGCTTGCAGCAGCATGACCAGTGCAGGCTTTCTGTGGCTCTGCGCTCTTCCTGAGCTCTTGGTTCAGGACATAGTGCTAAGCACATATGCTGACTAAAATAAATTACCTTGCAGCAGTTAGAGAAAGCATAGCTGCCTTAATCCATAATAGTTGCTTTAATCCATTTTTATAAATTTGGGAGTCACAAGTCCATTAGCTAAATCCACTTGTCACTGACAAGTGACAGCTATAGATGTCCTGCTTATTTCACCTACTGGAAGCTGATCTAAGCTCTCACTTCTTAAGCTATACAGATAATAGCAGAATACATTATAAACTGTTGATACTGAACATGAAATACCAAATAATCACATATTTCAAAGACTTACAATATTTTTCTGTTCTTTATGAAACATGTTTGCTTTAAATTTTGCCAGTAGCAATAGAGCGAAGCGAAACAGCAGGGCTGTAGAAAAGAAGGCAGTTATAGAAATTCCACGAGAGAATAACTTCACCAGAGCCACTGTGTCCAAGCAGAGATGCCRTATGGAAGAAATATAGCCCTAATATTTTAGGAGACTGAGGTATAGGAATAAAAAGAAATGTTTATAACTTCATCTAGTTGGATTTGTCTTGTTCATTGTGTAAAAACCCTGCAAAAGCTAAACCATGTGAGCATTGCTCAAAACTATGCTTTTCTAGGGAGCTCTGTGCAATATATATTCTATACTCATCTAGACAAATAGTTCACTTGCTCCTTATGATACTTCTGAAATTTTCATGTATGGTATTCTGCTGTCTTGAATTTAAATAACAAATTTACCACTTCTTCTRTTCCCTGAAGTTGTATGAAAGACCACAGAACTAACTACTTCCCACTTCTAAGGGTCTAAATCAGACTGAATATGTAACCATGTAAGAAAATGGCTTGCTCTTTTCAAGGCCCTTCTTTGCCTTTTTTTTTCTTTGCTCCTTACTTCATCTTGGTGTTGATGTGGACTGTAAAGAAAACTTAAGATATTCTTAATAAAGCTGTCAACGGGGAAATTTCTCTAGTTAAAGAATCACAGGCAAAGTCTGGACATTTCAAGGACTGAAAACTAAACCACCTCTCCATTTAGTGCACATACTGACAGACTTTTGGCATCTATCATAGTTATATCACAGTCTGAGATGATTAAACCTATTCTGAGATGCTAAAAAATGTCCGTCAATGGTATTAGCCTATGAGGACAGTCAAGGCCTCCCGTTAAATGAGTTTAGGATTGAATTGCTTAGGGCCACAGTTGATACTTAATGTACAATATAATGCAGCATAACGTCTGAGCATACGTTACCACCTTACATATCCGAACTGCTATCTATGAATATGTTTTGTAGCCTGTTCATTTGTTTTTATTAAAGAGAAACCTCTGTTAATAAATGCTGAATTTTTATGACTCGAACTGAGAAGCCACAAATCTCTAACTGGTCATCCAGGTAATTTTACCAAGCAACCTTTAGCAACCAAGCAGGTGTATCAAGTTTAAGAAATTCTCATGTTTCAGTGTGCCATGTTCAGTTGTGTTATGTAAAATAAGTTGTTTGCCAGGTGCCCAATGGAAAGAAATTCCRAAAAAGAGCAGGATGTGATCCCCTTTGGAGGAAAGGCAGTCAGAAGGGAAGTAAACAAACGGGGTGGGCTTGTGGAAACCTGAACTTCCCTATCACTTGCTTGATAGAAAGCAGCTATCACAGGCTGTGGTGAAGGACTGCAGWTCACTTGCTTGCATGCAAAATAAGAGCATTAACATATTGCAGCCCATAACTAGGGCTGGAAAGAGAAACCTTGCCTGCCTCTCTTCATATTACCTAGACAGGTCATCATACAGACTTGCAGGAACAGGCTCTGAATGGGCACCATCCTTTCCCAAATATGAGCATCTCAACTTTTCTCAGCTTTTCCCAATTGCTGCACTGCAAACACCCAGGATAAACTTCAGCTGTGTAATGAAGGCTCACAGATGGTCAACAAGACCAGGATTGACAGTGACAAAGACCCATTTTCCTTCCCCCTCCAGTTTTGATAGGCATTGGGCCAGAAATAAGAGGTTTCTTGGTTTAGATAACAGTTATATTTGGGAGAGCTGAGAACTTAGCCCATCTCTGCCAGCTCCTACTTCAGTGCATTTCAGTGCTCAACCTTTTTCAGTTATTGTGGGGAATCCCTGCATGTCCAGCTGAAGGCTATCAACAACAAGGCCTACAAAAAGCTAAGAAAAGCAGCCCTCAGAAATCATCCATCAAGATCTGTGGGACATATGGGCTGTAAGAGCAAGCTGTCTCCATAGACTGTGCTAATGGATCCTCTTGAAACACTTGTCTGAGTACCCATCTCTATCTTATTCTTGTTCTTTCTATAATTTCCCTGCTGTTAAATTATTAATTTCACACAGAGTAGTATAGTACATAAAACTGGACTGTTTTCTTATAGTATCTTTCTTAATGGAAGGAACAAAAATAGAATTTGCTATGCATGACACTTACCTAAACTTTTCCTTCATACCGGTTTCACTGCATGGAAATGAAATGGGTTGTATTCTGCCAGTATGAATCAAGTGTAAATCTAGAGGAGCTACATTTAAGTCCACTGCAAGTTTTAATGACTGTAGCTGGGAGCAGGATGTGCCCCATGGTGCCTTTTCGTAATGATTCTCTAAACTGATCACGTAAGTTGCAGTCTTATGTACTATAAGTAGGCATTTGTATGCAATGATGCTCCTCTGACTTGACTTTTCTGGACTGCAAAGTAAAGATCTAATTATTCAGAAATACCTGGCAGTAATTTCTAAAAATTTATGTTGTATAATTCTTAATTTATAATCATTTTGGTTGGCTAGTGCTACTGCAAAAACATCCCTTTTAGTCCTTTGGAGGAGCCAGGTGCTCTCCTGTTGGAGACCATTTAAGTAAGCAAACAGTATTTTAGCTCTTTAGTCTATCAAAGGGATATGTGATTAACTACTATTTATTTATTAGGTGTAGCTATTGTGCCAGCTGCTTGAAAATAAGTGGAAGAAAAGAAGTCTTACTGAAGAGTCTGTGGTCYGATCAGAAGAGAGTGAATTGCAGTATGTTTTTGATATCATGTTCGAAGGAAGGTGGTTATTGGTAATTATGAAATACCCCTTTAGAGGCAGAATGCCGTGCAATGAAATTGTCTCCAAAATGATTTTCTTTTTTTTTTTTTTTTTTTGAGAAAAAAAAAGTGTGTGTGTAGATATTTTTGGTTCTTTCAGAAATTTAGCTTAAATTGTTAGAATTATTTCTGGTGAAATGGGATTATTGGTTTGGGATTGCTGACTGGCATGAGAGTTTTTCCCATCTCCCTTTTCTAGGTCATTACCTGCATCTCCAGATACCAGATCCATCTGTGGCAGGCGTTAGTGAGGGCACCTCCCTGTCAGCTTCTTAAAGAGGACAAGCAAGCAAGAGGTTTCCAGGGGAGCATTTGTTTTACTAGGACAAGTTCAGCAACCCATTCCTTGCCTTGCAGAGCTGCTCTGTAACCAGACTAGCAGGCTGCATGGCACACAGGGTAAGAAGACATTGAATTTTGTTAATAAGGACTCTCTTATTGACTTTCTTTGTGCAGGTTTGGGTTCATACAACTCTAAAGTTTTTGAGTTTTTTTGGCGTTACTTTGTTTCACTGTTGCATAAATGACATTTACGGTTGTGTTTGCCAGAAAGCCCTTCAAGGGTTTTGATGCAGATGAGCTCCATTCCCTTGTTCCACTCTTCCATTGCTTGCTCTGCCCTTGCCTTCCCAAGTCACCGTTGCGCTTGGTTATTCCAAAAGCATCGGGCAGAGCAGAGGCAAAAGGAAGCACAGACATTCCCCACTGACCATCCCTGGGCCTGTTCTCAGCACAAGTCAGAGGATGTTTAACAGGGAAAACTTACCCTCGCTCCCATCCCATAGGAACAAGAACTAAGAAAAGATATTCTTAGCAACATGACACCATGCCTAGTAGGAAAATACCTTAGCTCAAATGCATTTCAAAAAGCAGGCTGTATGTGATCGTGCATTCTTATTATTTCATTCTCTCTTCTCGCTAATGAACTAACAGGAGTTTTATCGTGGCAGACAGTGCTTGACTGCCTGCTGCTCATCTGAAAGTGCTGCTGTATCCTACCCTCTGCAGCTGCCTCCAGGCTGCCAGTGAAACTTCACAGACTCTAATTGTTTGGGTCATATATTAACCTTTGGTTTACAAAGGAGGCTAAATAATCTGAAAATTTCCATGGCATGCCTGCTGACTTTAATAGCCTATTAAGGATTTCAGGTAGTTTGTGACTTCACCCTATTTTTTCTGTACTAATAATAAGGAAAAAAGTCAATACCGTCACAAATTTGCAATGGAAATTGGAGTGAATAATGGGTTGGTGAGGCAGAAGTCAAGGCTGCTGGCAGAGGGGGAAAAAATAGGTGGCTAATTTTTGGAGATAATGTGACTGAGTAACTAGAAGGATGCTCTGGGGTTAGGAAGGTTGGCTGTGGTTCCCTGAATGTCCTTCTGTGCCAGCCCTCTGAGGGCTCAGCTATCAGCATCTTTCATTAGACACTAAAAAGCCTGGAGCTATTAGATATTTAGGGTTAACCTCTCTGGATACTGGTTCTCTGTTTATAAAATGTAGATTACTACAGTTTTGCAGTTCTGTTAAAGTGGCTGGAAGTGTCCTAGCATATGATTATTAGCTACTTTTATTTTAAGATAAATTAAAGAAGTGACGTGCTAGACTAATGCTTAAAGTCAAACTGATTTAACTTGCTGAATCTTGCAGAAACATGGGATATAGATAGCTGCACCAGAGAGAAGGACCACTGGGGAGACAGGGGTTGATGGAAGCTGCTTCTCGAGAAATTCTGTAGATTTATTAAAACTTCTCATCAACAGCCTGTTGGAAAGTTAATTTTACCCAGGTTTGTTTTTGTGCTTCCTTCATCAGTTAAGAAAAGGACCTGAGGACATCAGAACTGAATATAGGAAATAATCGGTTCATGTTGATACAATATTTGTTATTTTTAAGTAGCACTGACCACATGCTCACATCTGAAAATGGCCATTGTGAGGAAAACAGCCAACRTGCAGGAGGTTTCCAAACACCTCTTCTGCTAGGTGTTAGGTTAATTAGATTTTACAGAGGACATATCATAGATGAACATGGATGGTGAACACTTGCATTGGGAGATCAAAGAGCATCTCATTTGTGTTTTTCAGTGCTTGAGCTTTTGTCAGCATCAGCTGTGCAGTGTGACAAAATCACTGGGACTTTGTACTGTATTGTGCTGTTGTACTGGGATTTGGGGCAGGGGCAAATGAGATCAGCTTTTAAGATCTCTTCTAAATTTCTAAATGAGAAATGAGATMTCTTTCTAAATTCTAAATGAGATCTCTTCTAAGTTTCTGCTTRATCGGTTACAAGTAAGTGAATGTCTAAGGTAATACACCTCTGAGATATATAAATATTAATTATTACTCATCTGTTTGCAGTGTCTAGGTTCTACTTTCTTATATTTCCTTACTCCACTCTCAATCTTCTCTTACCTACTCAGATTCCATTCTTCTGCATAGCAYTCTTATACATGACTTCTGCAGCTGCAGACTGTTTTATTGTTATTTATTGAAACTAAAAAGTAGGTGGGAGAATTTTTGTCAAGAAATAAGATCTTAATGATCTTTAATATGCAATAATATTAGAATATGCTGCACATCCTTGCAGTAGCAATTTTGTAAGTACAAAGTTTTATCCTTTTTACCCAGGAAGATAAACACAGAAGCTTCCATCTGTCTACTCTAAGATGTTCCTCAGAGCACAAAGATTCCACGYAAAGTGCGTGTTGTAGCTGGCTGGGTAAACATATAGCCCCACTGTTGGCATAAAGGAACATAATGTGCTTTTTAAATGCAAAATTTCTCATGAAATCAACAGAAGCATCATCAGTCATCGTGACAAATTCTCAACATCATGCTTTGAAAAGTCAAAGTAAATTTCACTATTGTTAAAATGATAAATCTAGGGGAATATGAAAGTTGACATATTGGAGAGAATTCATTTCTCCTTGTGGTTTAGTATCCTCCAATGAAGCACAGCATCAGATGATGCAAGCCTGTTGTGCCAGGCTTCATCTTGACAAACAAGCTTATTGGATACCTTCAAGTGTGAAGGTGTCTTAAATATCTTTGGAACCATCTCTGGTTTTGAGAACGCCAAAGAGTTATCTCTGGCCAAGCTGTTCTGTAACCTTCATCATGCTGATTTCCTCTGGACATTTTCGCTGAAATCCCCCAGGAACCTGTGATAAGGGACCTGCTAGGCTCAGCACAATTCCCATCCCTTGAGTCCTGCCTAGCAAACTTATTTTTGAGCATGTTCATGCTGGAAATATGGGGTGTTTGAATGCACATTGCTTATATGTGGTTTACCCATGTAGCACAACAGTAATATGTGATTGTCCCATGCATATCATCAAGCTTGAGAATGACTTCTTKTCTACTGATTTTGCAGCTTTGTTGGTGACCAAGCAGCTTATTTGCAGTGGCTGTTGTGCCTCTGAGCTACCTGTGGGTGCTCCTTGTGGTCATGGTGCATCATCTACCAGTTTCCCTAACCARCTAGCAGTATGTGCAGTATATGGAGTATCCTGTGCTTTAGAAGGGACACTTTGCAAGCATGGCTTCAGCCAGGCATGCAAACTGCCCAGCACACAAGTCTGGTCTGGTAGACAACCTCACCATTAGCATAGAGTCCAATATGAGAACCYCTCCTGCCACGAACTCTATATGCCCAAGTGCAACACGTGTCAGGCTAAAAGCTCCTTCAGATTAATATTCATCACACTTAGAGTTGTGCTCTCTAACAACATTTACATGTGCTTGTGCTCTGCTAGAGTTCAAGTGCTGTTAACATAGRACAGTTACACCCACCCATGGAGACTAAAATCTAAAAATGAAGTGATACTCCCATAAGGGTATAAATACATTYTCCTTTATCTCCATATGCGACAGTGAGCTGTTGCTTCCAAGCTTTTCCTTTCCTTTCTGCTACTTAACACATATTTCATCACTTAACACGTAGCACAATTTCATCATAGCCCTCCTTTTGGMACAGACTTTTGGTAAAGATATGTTTTTGGAAGCAAGGGAGGTGGGTAGTAAACGGAACTGCTTGTTGTTGTTGTTTTCCTGTTGGGTTGCCTTTGCCTTCCAACAGTTTTAATTTCCAGTAGTTAATTATCCAGTATTGTTTTGGATAATGCGAAGCACTAAACTCTTACATTATTTATGAAAATGAAAGTAATCCCAAAATATCTGCCAGACACATTTTAATCCTAATTAAAAYTGAAAGAGAAAGGAGAAAGAATTAAATACATTTTATAGTCTTGACTTATTCCCCATCAAGCAAGATTTTTCCATTCCAGAGCACCCCTGCTTAATTTCCAGTCAGCCTGCATGACTGACAGGGCAAGGAACTGAGTGCCTGCCAGTTCCTTTGGAGAATTTATTTAAGGTGTTTCTGAGCTGTGAAAGGGATCTGTCATGTCAATAGCAGCAACGTGGCTCATCAGAACACTGGTCAGTCTTGTCATCAAGAAGGAAATAGGTTATGTGTATGTGACAGAGGCACATAGAGAAATTACTTTGCAAATAAATTTTACTCATCCTYGCTCTCTGTGTCTGCATATATTCTAGCTGTTGTTTTGCTAATTCTTGGGGAAGTCAYAAGAAGACACGTCACTCAATTTACTCTTTGATTTACTTAGCAGAGCACTCGGGAGCAGGGCTGTGGGGAGGGTGTGTGTAGGTCTGGGGAATAGGAATGCAAAACTCATTCCCAAGCTATCCCCTTTTATGCRCTGTGAAATTTCGTCAGTTAATTTCAGGAGGCCCAAAGAAACTGTGGTAAGTGAGCCTCTCATGTTGGGAGGTTTGGGATCTGCAAAGCATCTGGGATTCCAGGGGCTTATTTGAGCTTATCGGTGGTAACTGACACTCTTTGATCTGCCAATTGAGCTAGGAGTCATTTTGGAACAGATGTCCATGTGAGTTTTCCATTGCATTGTGATTCTGGTCAGCTTCAGGCTTTCAGTGCACTTTCAATTGGAACTATAAATAGTTTTAGCTGATGTGTGCTATAAAATGCTCAGTTGTAGGTGAGCTGGTACTCTTCCTTAATTGTGAGATCTAGCTATTTGTAATGTTAAAGCTCAACAGACATCTCGACAAATCACAAATCCATTTGAGTACTTGTGTCACAAGCAATGAATGTCCTTTTCCTTCTGATCATAGACAACTTCAGAGGACATTTTCTGTATAAAGGAGATTTCTCTCTCTGATTCCTGAAGGCCCTCAGCCCCTCTATTGTCCCTTTCTTCTGCGGGTTGGAATAAAAGAGCTGTTGAACTTGGAGGAATTGAGATCTATCTGTTCAACATCTTCCTCCCAAGCCACTCCTACAGCCCAAGGAGTATGGCTGTAGAAAATGCACAGCATTTGCCTTGGCTCCAGTGGAAACTTAGTCAACCATTAACTACCTCCAAAACAATTGAAGTTTGTTTATTAAAGGGGTGGCATGATACAGTGACCAATAATATCAGTAGATATTCTGAACTTGATGAGCTGGGGCTATCTCAGGTGCCCTCATATATTCCAGAAGTGAGGAGGGGAAGTTTCAGTTGCACCTTCTTGCCATAATTAACACATCTTTGAGTCCTCTGCTTGGTTATACAGGAGATCTAACACATTTTGATACTGCCCTGTCAACACTGAGAGCATCGAAGACARGGATTTAAGTCAGATATCTAGATTAGAAAAGTTTAATAAAAATCTGGCTGTTAGAAAATCAAAAGCATCTACTTTTTTATTGTTGATGGTTTGCCTCATAAATCAGCTCTCCTTTTTAACTTTACTACATTGCCAAATGTTACTACTACTCCAAATGTTCTTGAGTGTTTTAGAAAAATAGCAACAAAAGCTGCTCTGAATTCTTAATTTTAATTTTATTGGCAAATCCATCATAAGGGTCTATTAAGAAAATTAAGCAGTGATAGAGTGAGAACTAAATTTATATGAGACACTAAAATATTCTGATATGCAAAACTCTGAGTAATGGCTGGTTTTCAGCATGACTGAAGCTCAGCAGTAAGTACCCAAAGCTTCTGTTTTAGAGCCAGTGTCAGCCACAGAGCTTGTTAGAGCTGTCTGTATCTGGGGGAGGTGGAAAATGTAACTTTTTTTTAATTTAAGGAATTACCACTTTGTTAAACTTGAAATATTTTTTGGAGACGATTTGATCTGACAACGTTCTGATAGAACTTGGTTTTGTTTTGTGTTCAGAATCTTATCAGTCCAGACTTTCAGGGGTTATGTCTCCACGATAAGTCAGAAGATGGGTTTCCCTCAGATGAGGTTCTGTTTCTTTCCAAGGAAAATGAGGACATTTAGGGGAGAAAATTTCAAACAACTTAATCTTACACTTAGGAAGATAATGCCAGTCACCAATGATTGAGCTTTCCCAGAGCACTTTCAACTAAGAATATTTTTAGATCAAATTGAAAGTGCAAAGTGGGGGAGGAAATGTGGATGAAAGCCACCTCTAAACTTTTATTCATGATTGGGAAAATGGGCCCAGAAAAGAAGCCAAGCACGTGGTTAGCCTAGTTCTTAACCATGATGAATCACAGAGATAAAGAAACTGAATGTAGAAATGATGTCTCTCCAATTTCTAAACTTTGTCCAGCTTTTTTTGAAATTGTTCAGTAGATAAACTGCCCCCTCAAGGCTATTCCTTTACCCTTTTGTCCTTTTCTGTTTTTTTTTTTTTTTTAATTGTCTTGCTTTGCTAACCAGATCTCTACCGCTATGTGAAGAGAGAGGTGATAAGAGATGAAAGTCAGCATTGCAAAATGCACGGTGTTGCTGGAAGAATAACTGGAACGACTTGCAGTGTGTAGCTCTGGGGGGAAAACGCTGAGAAGCTCTTGGTCAGCAGACCTGAGTCATTGCTGGTAGCCATCAAAATCTGTTACAGAAAGGAATTCATCTTAAGTGACTCCCTGTGCTGGGCCCCAACTGCTATATCTGGCTCTTGCTCCAAGGGAAAAATATCTAGGCAACAAAATGTTTGGATCAAGCTGAAAAACAACAACTCAACAACAAGTAGCTTGAGGGTCGAAATTAACTGTGAGAAATCTTATCCCAAGCACTCGTCACGAGACAAAAGGTATGAAAAATAGGGTCAAACAGAGAGCGTGTCTTCTGCAGTC